CGGCGATGCGCAGCACAGGAGGGGAAACTAGAAAGTTCTTGAGTTCCTGGAAAGCCGCTTCTGCCTCCTCCCCCCACACAAAATTCCTGTCCTTGTGCAGCAGGTCGGTCAGCGGGCCGGTTATCCCCGCCATATTCGGGATAAACCGCCTGACGTAACTCACGAATCCGAGAAAACTCTGGAGTTCCGTGACATTCGTCGGGGACTTCCACTCCTGTATGGTCTTGATTTTCGCCGGGTCGATTTTAATGCCGTCGCGTGAGATGACGTGCCCCAAAAACTCCAACTCTTGCTTAAAAAACTCGCACTTAGAGCCCTTGGTGATGAGTCGGTTCTCCTGCAGCCGCTTAAACACTGCATCCAGGTCACGGAGGTGCTGCTCTCGTGTCTTGCTAAAAATGAGGATATCGTCCAAATAGACGATGACGCATCGGTCTAGAAGATCCCGAAAAACCCTGTTCATGGTCAGTTGGAATGTTGAAGGCGCGTTCGTGAGGCCGAAAGGCATCACCGTGAATTCGTAACTCCCGTAGCGTGTGCGAAACGCGGTCTTGTGACAATCGTCGGCGAAGACCCGAATCTGGTGGTAACCGCCACGTAAGTCGATTTTCGAGAAGTAACGAGCGCCGCGAAGCTGGTCAAGAAGGGCGTCGGTGCGTGGGATTGGGTAGCGAGACTTGATGGTCACCCGGTTCAACGCGCGATAATCGATGCACATGCGAAGCCCACCGTCCTTCTTCGGAGTGAACAGGATCGATGCCGCGAACGGGGAGGTGCTCGCCCGAATGAACCCTTTCTCCAACAGTGCGTCAATTTGTCGGCGCAGCTCCTCGAGTTCCGGCTGGGTCAACCGCCACTGTGTTCGAACCGTCGGTTGCGCGCCAGGCTCCAGCTGGATTTTATGGTCTTCTGGTCTCTCGGGTGGCAGCCCAGGTGGCAGGTCGTCCGGGAAAATGCCGGGGTACTGTCGAATCAGCTCCGCTAAATCCGGAGGTACAGCTGCACACAGCTTCTCAATGTCCTTTCCGTCGGTGTCGACTGCCAACTCGCGTAAGCAGACAGCGAACAGCTGCGCGCCCTTGTTGAAGTGGCGAGCTATAGTGATGGCTTTGACGCATGGGGCTTGGATGTAGTCAGGTGTCCATGCAGGCAGCCGAATAAGCCCCTCGTGCTTGCTGATGCTGCACGATCCCGTTGTCCAGTCGATGACGGGGTTGTGTCGTCGCAGCCAATCGCGTCCCAGCAACACGTCGCAGCCGTCCAATGTTGTCGCGAGAAACTTCATGCTGAAGCCGAAATCGTCGCCGCATTCGATCCTGACCGTCCGTGTTTCTTCCGTTATCACCAGAGGCGTCCCATCCACGAGGCGTGCGTCGATTTCGGGCAGACACCTGTCAAGTTGCAGCTTGCATCTTTTTGCGCTCGCCAAATTGAAGAGGCTATGGCTGGCCCCTCCATCGACGAACATTTTCAAATTATTTTTTAACACCTTGCCAGCGACCAGCACAGGGTGATCCACATGATTATCCCCGTTATTCGGCCGAGTGCGATCGATTGCATGAATCGGAACCACGACTCGGTGGGGATGATGGTGTTCGGGCGACGGAGCACAGTCAGTAAAGGGCCCGCTAATTACTGACTCTTCCCATTTCCCTGCTCCTTCCTGTCGTCCCCTGTCAGCGGCATTTTCTCCTGGCAGTCTTTCCTGTAGTGACCCACCTTCCCACACCGAAAACACTGACCCTTAGGAGGGCGGTCGGGTGTATGGACGGCGTTGATCGTGGCCCGATGGGTCTGGCCACGAAAGCTTCTCCCATCCCTGGAAGCTGCTCTCGCGTACTGCATCAGCGCATCAGTTGACTCCGCCACTCGTACTGCTTCGAGGAACGATGTCGGGCGGCTTCTGCGGACCTCAAACTGTATTTCATATTTTAGGCCGCTGACGTATTTATCCAACCGCTCTGCTTCCGACATGTCGTCAATTTGGTCGGCGAAGCCCATAAATGACGCTGTGTAGTCTTGGACAGAAGCCATCTGCGACCATGCACGCAGCTTCATGCGAGCTTGCTCCGAGGCGGATATGTGCTCGAAGCGATCTCGTAAGGCTGCGCCCCACTCCTTCCACGTGCGTATCTTGGTCACACCGAAGATTGGTTCTGCCACTTGATTAACCACTGTAGAGGTCCCGTCTGCCGCATGTGTCACACCTGTCGGCATCCCTGTTTCCAAGGTTCGGCGCCACCATTCAAGCGCTGCACCTCGAAGAAGCGAAACCGCGTAATTAATACGCGTGGCGTCGTCATTAACTCCGGCTGCAGTAAAAAAGACTTCGACCCCGAACAGCCACCCTTTTACCGTAACCGTCTTGTCCGTAGGATTAAACGGGGGCGGGTTGGCGGGCTTTATCTTGATCGTCGTCACTGCAACTGGCGCTGCTGCCGCTCGCTGCCTATCTTCTTCTTCGAAGTCACGTGTGAGCGCATCCAGCGGATTGCTCATCGCTTGACTGTTGCCCTCGCCTTCGTCCACAGGCGACTCCTGACGCGCTTCACCTCGCGTCTGGCGTAGCTCGGCGTTTTCCTCCCGTAACGTTGTCACTTCCGCCATTAATGATTCCATGCCCTGCTTCATTTCTGCCACTTGCGCCATCAGCCGGTTAACAGCCTCCTGATCCATGTGCCTAGCACTACGTCTAGTGGGCAGTCGGGTACCCGTGGCCTCCCGGCAAGTGAAAACACGAACTATCGGAGTCGGGCAGGATTGAATCAACAATCCCTGCAACCAACCGTCGTGTAGTCACTAAACCAACCACACCCGTGCCACCAAACTACCCTCGAAAAGCGGGGTGAACTAGCTCTGATACCAGGTGTTATGAGTTGTAAAAGAGAGTGCGCAGGTAAACGAATAACGAGGCTGTGACTGAATCAACTGCGAATACAATGAATGCACAGACTAATGTAGGGCTAGCCTAGCTAGGAGGAAACCTCGGACAAGCGAGGTTGGATGCAGGTTGGGCGATGGAAATGCCGAAGGCGACGCGAGGAGCCTCGGCAGCGTTGAAATCGGCCGAACGTGCGAACTCCGAAAATCGGGTTGTACGCGAAGCAGTCAACCCCGATAAGGAATTCAGGAAAATTCCTTACAATCCGTCTACGTAGAGTCGTCGACATCCCACACCAAACACTTCCTGAGAGCAGTTTCGTGTCGTGGCGCGTCTTGTTCGGACTGGAAATTACCTTGGAAAGAACTCATGTTCACTGTGTGAAGGCCACGCTGGATCATCCTAGCCAGCCCCAAACCAGCCCAACCCCGCACTTTGCCAACGTGGTTGACTGTTTCAACTCCAGCGCGGAAAGGAAAGATTCACCCCGCGTCACCCACTTTTGTACGTGTTCTACTGTTGTACTGTACTTGATTTCAACTGCTTTGGGATTGTTGAGTTGGCTTGGTTTGTGGTCGTCGTGACAGCTTTGATTACAGTACTTCTAATCGCCCGTACTTCTAATCGCCCCCTACTGTACATCCATCCCCTTCAAACTTTCAAGTCCGAGAGCAATCAAATATTCTCCATTCTACATCCATTGATCACCCTAGGTGGGCCAAGCAGAGACCATTCATAGAATCGCTGTGCTCCGTTCCTCATCCCTCCCGACCCGACAGGATTCATCTTTACTGTACTTGTTTTTAATATATTTTTTCCCAGCTCGCCCGTACGGCAGAGCAAGATAGTCGCGAATCATTGCATGCTAGTGCCCACCTTTTCGCCCTTGCTGACTGGATCGTCTCTGAGATGGAAAGGGAAGTCAATGTATTCTTTGCGCTCGAATCGCGGCTGTTTCCAGGTCCAGCAGTAATGTTTGCAACAAGAGCGATAAAGGCGTCCCTTACCGCCAGCCTGGTTGCCTCATCATCAGTCGAGGTGCATCCACCTACCTCGAGGTGCTTCAGATCTACAGGCCAGTTGCACATTTCCTTCGCGACGTGAACGAAACTCGAAGCTCGTGTTTCGTTTCGTTCCGAAGGCACAGCAATCCTAGTATTTTACTAGGTGAAGGACGCACTAGAGGTCGGATCTGTCAGCAACGGAGCAGCCAAGAAGGTCCTGCGTGCCAACTCTGTAGCAACCCTAAGACCTGCATTGAGGCAAATTTTGGAGGCTTAGAGGCGACTCCATTGCAGCGAGTAACGCCTGCAGTCGCGATAAAAGACTCTAGCCGCATTTATCAACTAGCAGGGCATATCTTCCCACAACCAAGAGGGTAGAACAATATGAAGACGGGAAACGGAAAGTTCACGTTTCTGCTCTTAGTACTTCTGGCCATTCACGCCTCGTTGGCTTCACTAGAGGAAGCCCGCACGCCTGTCGTGAACCCGTCGCAGTATGAAATCTTTTTGCAAAGAAACGGAGAAGTTCCCGAAGACCAGAGGCGTCAGCACACCGCGGAGGGCATTCTGGATGCGGAGAGCAGCGAAGAGGTGGGCGGCCGGCGCGTTCTGGTGGATACGGGAGTGAAGTTCGGTCTGTCGGCGCCGCCGCTTAACTCGGGGCCGAGCATGGCGACGGTGAACATGTCGTTCTACCGCTGGGAGAGCGTCACGCCGCCGCCCGTCGTCGACTGGCGGAAGACCGTCGCCATGACGGCCATCCAGACGCAGTTTGTGGTGCGTACTCCGCCCGTGGGTGTGTTCTGGAAGTCGACTCATGCGTACTCCGCTCGCGCCTCCTCGGTCGTCTGGTTCCTCGCAGCAGTTGATGTCAGCTCAGCCGCATGAGTTTATCGGCTCAGTTGAAGCTGCTCCACGGTCGTTTGTGTCGCTGCCGAAAATTGGATTGTCGTTCATTCTCACGATGTTATTACAACCCGTGTGTTATTTCTGCCTTGTTTTCGAGTTGTCGAGCCCTCTCACATTTACTCAGCCCAGACTCGTCGCTTCCTTTCCTCAAACCCCTTCCGCAGTGCTCAAGCTGCTGGGCGATCTCGGCCGTCGATTCCATCGCCATGATGTGGGCGATCGCCAACAACAGCACCGGGGCGACTCTGTCGCCGCAGCAGGTGTGCGACTGCGCGACGAAGCAGTGCTGCCAAGGCGGGTGGCCCGAGTGGGCCTTCTACTACGTGCTCTTCAACGGCGGCATCACGTACAACGTCAGCTACCCCTACTCCGCCGTGGATTCCGCCACATGTCTGCTCGACACAACCATGACGACCGCGGCTCAGATCACGGGGTGGGAGCTGGTGCCGGCATTCAACGCCATGGCGCTCATGAAGGCCGTCAGCATGCAGCCCGTCGTCGCCTTCATCAGCGCCTCCGCCGCCGACTTCACCGTACGCCTCCCTGCGCCCTCGTCCCGCTCCCACTACCACTTCCCGCGCTTCCCCGCTCACACGGTTTCACGATTTCTCGCGCTTCCCCGCTCACACGGTTTCACGATTTCTCGCGCTTCCCCGCTCACGCGGTTTCACGATTTCTCGCGCTTTCCCGCTCACACGGTTTACCGACTCTCAGCGCTTTCCCAATCTCCCGTTTCCATATTCCCCAAGTCCACACAGTTTCTTTATTTCCCGCGTCTCCCTTTCACCGTTCCTGATTTTTCGCTCGTTGACGATTCGCTGCCAACCTTAAATCGCTTCCCGATTTCCCACGTGTCCCCGCTCACACCTTTGGGTTTGGCGCCCGCTCGCAAAGTTTTCGGACTCCCCGCGTTTCCCAGCTCACATCGTTTCGCGACTCCCCGCGTTTCCACCTGCCTGTTGGCCCCTGTCTCCACGTGCAGGCGTACGCAAGCCGCGACACGGTCAACATCTACAACGGCGCGTGCTCGACGGAGGTGAACCACGCGGTGGTGGTGGTGGGCTTTAACTACACGGGGCCGGACCTCAAAGGCAGCTACTGGATCATAAAAAACTCGTGGTATCCCACGTGGGGCGACAAAGGCTTCATGTACCTTGCCATGACGCCCGACGTGCGCGGGAAATGCGGCATCCTATCGTACGTTTCCGAACTCGCTTCCCGTGTCCCCGTCTTCCTGGACAGTTGAGTCTGCCTCCAGTTCCAGGACGGTCCTCCTGGTCTCCCCGCCGACATACTGTCATCTGCGTCCGTCAAGCCTAGGAGGCATTGCGTTCCGTCGCGCCTAGGACGCTCCCAGACCCTGCAGTCCCCCCCAGGGCGAGGCAGGGTGCGAAGTTCAGTTGTGCCACTAGTCCACTAAATTTTCTCCTTTTCTCGTCATCCCCTTTTTCCGCGCAGAACCCCCGCCATGTACCCCGTCTACTTCCCATCCGGACAGCAGCCGGCACGCTTTGCGTCCGACAAGCGCGGCAAGTGGAAAATCACCAAGGTGGACGACCTCTCGTCATCGCTCTTCTTTACCACTCTCTCCATTTCAACCATCACCAACGGCACCTTTATCAACAATATTATTGCCACCGCGCTGGGTGCAACGTGCGCGGGGATGATCAACCCGTGCGGCGGGGGCAGTTGTTACATCAGCGGCGGAGTTCCGCGGTGCAACTGCGGCGCGATGTCGAATATGGTCGAGGTGTTGGGATTGCCTACTTCCAAGTGCGTGCCGCGAAGTCCCTGCACCATGGCTTCTGTGAATCCCTGCGGCGGCGGAACATGCTCGGATGTGGGCGACGGGACGTACACTTGCGCGTGCTCTGCGGGTTACGCCGTCGGCGTTGCTGTCGACGGTTCGCCAACGTGCGTTCCTGCAGCTGGCCTCGCGAAGTCTTATGTTACCAACCCTGGCGACAACTGCACGTTTGTCGCGGCAGCTTTCGGAATTTCGACGACCACGCTGACAAACCTGAATGCTTTCATTAACTGCTCCGATACAGAATACCTCCCTCCCGGAATAGCTCTTACAGTATCGGCAGCAGTGACTTCCTTATCCTCATATTGCACCAACACATACACTGTCCGACCTTCTGACACTTGCACTTCTGTAGCAAACACTTTCTTCAACGGGTCTCTCAGTTCCTTTATGGCAAGCAACCCTGGCTTGTCGTGCAAGCGCTTGTTCAAATCACAGCAAGTATGCCTTCAGATGGTTACCGCATCGACAACATCGTCGGCTCCACAGTGTGGGCACAGCGTTGCTGTGGTCATCGGAGACACTTGTGCTTCGGTTGCTGTTAAATATTCAATTGACAGCACAACATTTGCCTCGTGAGTATTTCAAACTCATGCCACTGGTTTTGTAAGCCAGCCCCCTTCGCTCCGACTTCATATTCTCTTCCTAGCATATACACCACTGTTCTGTAACCATTACTCCCTCGACGGGTCACCAAATTCTCGCGTCTGCATGTCCACGGTTACTCTTTTGCTGCAACCTCTTGCTCCTGTGCAGACTTAATCCCGGTGTCGACTGTAACAGCAATCTTTCAGTTGGCTCATATGTCTGTGTGGCGCCAACATCACCAACGGTAATCCTAAAGAACATCCTCCCACTTGGCAAGTTGATAGCGATTCTCCTCCCATTTAAATCCCCCAACGTCGTGTCTCCATCTTTCCATGCATCTAAGTCTCTCCCCCTCCTCTCTCCCATCCCCAATCTCCTGTGTGCTTGTGCCCAGACCACCATCAACTGCACGGGGTGGTACCGGGTGATGCAGGGCGACACATGCCCCTCCATCTGGAATGCAGCCAACCTCACCATGTCCATGTTCCAAGCCATCAACCCCGGCGTTCAGGTGAGCCATCAACCCCGGCGTTCAGGTGAGCCATCAACCCCGGCGTTCAGGTGAGCCATCAACCCCGGCATCCAGGTGAGCCATCAACCCGGGCATCCAGGTGAGCCATCAACCCGGGCATCCAGGTGAGCCATCAACCCGGGCATCCAGGTGAGCCATCAACCCGGGCATCCAGGTGAGCCATCAACCCGGGCATCCAGGTGAGCCATCAACCCAGGCATTCAGGTGAGCCATCAACCCCGGCCTTCAGGTGAGCCATCAACCCGGGCATCCAGGTGAGCCATCAACCCGGGCATCCAGGTGAGCCATCAACCCGGGCATCCAGGTGAGCCATCAACCCAGGCATTCAGGTGAGCCATCAACCCCGGCCTTCAGGTGAGCCATCAACCCGGGCATCCAGGTGAGCCATCAACCCGGGCATCCAGGTGAGCCATCAACCCGGGCATCCAGGTGAGCCATCAACCCGGGCATCCAGGTGAGCCATCAACCCGGGCATCCAGGTGAGCCATCAACCCAGGCATTCAGGTGAGCCATCAACCCCGGCCTTCAGGTGAGCCATCAACCCGGGCATCCAGGTGAGCCATCAACCCGGGCATCCAGGTGAGCCATCAACCCGGGCATCCAGGTGAGCCATCAACCCAGGCATTCAGGTGAGCCATCAACCCCGGCCTTCAGGTGAGCCATCAACCCGGGCATCCAGGTGAGCCATCAACCCGGGCATCCAGGTGAGCCATCAACCCGGGCATCCAGGTGAGCCATCAACCCGGGCATCCAGGTGAGCCATCAACCCGGGCATCCAGGTGAGCCATCAACCCAGGCATTCAGGTGAGCCATCAACCCCGGCCTTCAGGTGAGCCATCAACCCGGGCATCCAGGTGAGCCATCAACCCGGGCATCCAGGTGAGCCATCAACCCGGGCATCCAGGTGAGCCATCAACCCGGGCATCCAGGTGAGCCATCAACCCGGGCATCCAGGTGAGCCATCAACCCAGGCATTCAGGTGAGCCATCAACCCCGGCCTTCAGGTGAGCCATCAACCCGGGCATCCAGGTGAGCCATCAACCCGGGCATCCAGGTGAGCCATCAACCCGGGCATCCAGGTGAGCCATCAACCCAGGCATTCAGGTGAGCCATCAACCCCGGCCTTCAGGTGAGCCATCAACCCGGGCATCCAGGTGAGCCATCAACCCGGGCATCCAGGTGAGCCATCAACCCGGGCATCCAGGTGAGCCATCAACCCAGGCATTCAGGTGAGCCATCAACCCCGGCCTTCAGGTGAGCCATCAACCCAGGCCTTCAGGTGAGCCATCAACCCCGGCCTTCAGGTGAGCCATCAACCCCGGCCTTCAGGTGAGCCATCAACCCCGGCCTTCAGGTGAGCCATCAACCCCGGCCTTCAGGTGAGCCATCAACCCCGGCCTTCAGGTGAGCCATCAACCCTGGCGTCCAGGTGAGCCATCAACCCGGGCGTTCAGGTGAGCCATCAACCCGGGCGTTCAGGTGAGCCATCAACCCGAGCATTCAGGTGAGCCATCAACCCGGGCGTTCAGGTGAGCCATCAACCCGGGCGTTCAGGTGAGCCATCAACCCGGGCGTTCAGGTAAATTAATTGAAGCTTCACATACCGACCCATGGCACCCTTCAACGACCCCACACCTCTCTGTCTACTCTCCCACCCTTCCCAGCCCTCTCCCCCCTGCCTGCCCGGGTACCGCCTGGGTCCTTGCTTGCACCACTCTCTACCCTACCTCTCCAGCCCTCTGCACCTCTCTCTGCCTTGCGATTCCCTCTCTTCCATTTGCACCGCCAGCCTCCTTACCTCTTTCTCCCTTGCCATTTCCCCTCCCCGCAGTGCCAGGCGCCCTACCTGGTGGTGGGCCAGCAGGTCTGCATTGACTCACCCCTCCTAACCACAATGCAGCGAAACCCAAACGCAAACTACTCTATATACACCGTCCGTGCCAACGATACCCTCTCCACCATCTCCACCCAGTACCTCACCCGCTGCACTCCACTCTCCGTTTCCCCCGCCGCCATTGCCGCCCAAAACTTCATTGCCGACCCCTCTGCACCGCTCCCCGTCGGCACGAACCTCATCATCCCCTGTATTGGCGGCGTCGGTATGATCGACGGCGGCTGTGCGACGTCTCTCACCGTGTGCGGATCGGATTTCGTCTCGTACCCGTCGTACTGCCACGCAGCCGTGAACTACGGCCTTTCAATTTACCAGAATGGCCCGTGTGACAAGTGTGGGGCTGCATGCCCTGGCCGCATGGGACTGGCCCCCGCTTCCGGGTTCGGCTGCACGCAAGCCATCTGTCCGTATCCAACCTGGATGGGAGGGGCAGATTGCACCCTAGGAGATGGCTACAACGGTACTGCTCCCTGCTGCAATTACCGGAAAACGCTCTGCGTGAAGCAGTGCGGCCTAACTGCTGATACTTTAGGCGGTACCACCACAACCAGGACTGCAAACTACAACGAATGCATGGGCAATTGCATGTGCTGCGGATTTTTCCCATGTGGGGGGGATTGGACGTGCAGCACGTGGAACAGCACCTGCTCTAAGACCACACCAAAGACTTGCTCGTACCTCATCGGAACTGGGTACACGTTCATCTGCAGCTACTATCCTGGTGCAAGTCCCTTGCCTTGAGGAGAAGATGCCTGTAACAGCTGCTTGTAACAGCGCCTGCTGGTTCAAGTCGCCGCACACGTGCACACTCGCCATCGGAACTGGGTACACGTTCATTTGCAGCTACTACCCTGCGGTCGTTCGTTTGGTTTGAAGAGCTCCCTTTGGGGTGCCGCCTGTGGGCCTGCCGCCTCTGCTTGCGTTGCTGCTTACCTGGCTGTTGGAATATGCGTGCATGGGGTACTGCTGGAGGGCATGGGGTACTGCTGGAGGGCATGGGGTACTGCTGGAGGGCATGGGGTACTGCTGGAGGGCATGGGGTACTGCTGGAGGGCATGGGGTACTGCTGGAGGGCATGGGGTACTGCTGGAGGGCATGGGGTACTGCTGGAGGGCATGGGGTACTGCTGGAGGGCATGGGGTACTGCTGGAGGGCATGGGGTACTGCTGGAGGGCATGGGGTACTGCTGGAGGGCATGGGGTACTGCTGGAGGGCATGGGGTACTGCTGGAGGGCATGGGGTACTGCTGGAGGGCATGGGGTGCTGCTGGAGGGCATGGGGTGCTGCTGGAGGGTGTGGGTTGCTGGTGAGCATGGGTTGCTGAGGTGCATGGGGTGAATGTGCGTTGCTTAGATTGATATGCATTGGGACCACAGGTTATGGTATGCCTTGTCTTTGAATTCGTGCTCGTATTGTTAGAACCTTATATTCTTTTGTTCCTTTTCATCATTGTTAATTTCCATCATAATATTGTGCATCTGACGATACAAACAGAAAAGCACAGCACCTTTTACAACAACAAAGAATGGAAAGGGGTACGTTCAAACAACACGATGCCACCCACAACACAACACAATGCCCATGAGCAACCCGTTCAGCCCTCTCACCAGTTTTCCCTGTCCTTTGAAGCACCTGCACTCTGCATTCTTAGGATCCACCTCACTCTTCTCACTCTTCTCACTCTTCCCACTCTTCTTACTCCACACACCCAGAAATCCCTAGCTGCTGCACCTGCACCTGCCCTTTTCTCACGGTTCTCACGAAAGTGTAACCCCATAACCAGCAGAGAACTGCGCCAGAGCCTCCCTGTTCACATAACCCACCCCCTGCTGTATCACCGCTCCGAACCACCCCGGATTCCTCGACGTCAATGCCCCCAACCCCACTGTCAGGTACTGCCTGGCGTCACTCGTCTCCTCCTTCGCCTGATCCCCCTCTGTCTTTCCCGCATGGTGCAGCTGCGCATACGATGCCACGTACCCCAATGCAATCTCCTCTGCATCTGGCACGACGTGCCTGTGCTGCCTCCAGATGCTCCCTGGGCTGCACCAGCAGGGCCAACACGAATTTACTATGGGCTGCTTGCAACGTTGCAACTACCTTGTACCTCCTTGCACCTCAAGCCTTGCACCTCATGCCTTGCACCTCATGCCAAAACGGGTATGGCAGCACAACATGGGTATGGCAGCACAACATGGGTATAGGCAGCACCGCATGGGTATGGAAACACAACAGTAATCGCATAAAAATGTGTACACTCCAAGGAGAGCAGTAATCGCATAGAGGCTACCCAAGAGAGTTGGCAGTTATTTGATTTCTTCTAATAAGTGTTAGTATACAGTGTTTTAGTTGCTGCTGTCAAAGTATATGCATGTTATATGTGTAGGCTGTAGTGGGGTAGCCAATATGGGATACAGCCAGGCCCTACGATATCAGGAATTTTCCCCTGAAATTCCTGATTTTCAGCCTAGTTTTGTGTACCTCCCCTGATTTTTCAGTGTTGAGATTTTTGGGACACTGATTTTTTCAGCCTTTACGTCATAGCTAACACTGATGTTTCAGACTTTTATCGAAGTGTACACTGAATGCACATTCCGAATCCTTCCCGTAAAACACCCGAGAGACCAACATTTCTATTTTTAATATATGTATATATATAAGTAACATACTGACAGCTGTAAGGAAAATCTCTTTTTCCTTACTTCGCGTCCCTGCTCAACGCGTACATCACTGTAGCACCACAGTCAGCACCGTTACCACTCGCAATCCTCGCATCGACAATCCGCCCGCCACCTTCGCACGTCGCACCCCGACCTCACGGCTCGGCGGGTAACCCGCGCTCCGGGCCTCCGCTTCGACACTTTTCCCAACCTCAGTCCCAGGCCCGTCGCGCGACAACCACAGTGCATTACCGTTACCACTGTAGTCTCGCTATATATTCTTCGCTCATGCCTTCGCTCGTTGTACTCTTGCTTCGATAGTGTAATTCTCGTTCGTTCACTCAATTGCACTCGTAACACTTGGTATTCAGAGCCTACGATCTCTTCTCGGACCGCACCCACACCTTCGCTTCCCCACTATCTCAATTTTTGGGGGGGGTAGACGTCTCTCAGCGACACAGCACCGCCGCTCGTAGTGCTCTCTCGTAAGCACGCACGGCCACGACTGAGGCTCTCGCTGAGCTCGCCCGACACCCCCGCCATGGCCGAATTCACGCTCGCCACATTGACGCAGGAGCAGCTCGACCGTCTGGTGCGCCAACTCGAAGATTCGGCGCTCGAAATTGCGATGCTCACAGCGGAACGTGACTCCGCGCGTCAGCAATCAACGGTGAACACTCCAGCAGCACCACACGCACCAACAAATGCACCTGCACAATCGGACGAGCCAATCGTCATCTCGTCCGGGACACCAACACAACACGACAGCGTGGGACAGCGCTCGGGCGCAGCCAGTGATAGCGCCGCCCAACCAATGCCTGGCATGGGAGGAAACAGGGCCGCGCCAAGCCCGCGGGAGCCTCGCGAAGCCCGTCGGCACGTGGAGTTCGCGGTGACAAGTGGCGAACAGGCCATCATGGCACCAATGCCACTCAAGCCGCAACGCCCGCCCTGTTTCGACCCGAGCCAGCGTGGAGGTCCGACGGTTCAATCGTGGGTTTTCACGATGAACGTCTTCTTCGACGCGAATTACGTCGAGTCGGACGCAGCGAAGATTCGGTATGCCGTTTCGCTGTTAAGGGGCCCCGCCATGGACTGGTGGCGAGTCATCGTGACGTCGCCACGCGCCTACGAGCCACCGTCGCAAGAGGAAGGGCCCACGGGTCCAACTGTCACCTGGAGTTCATTCTGCGAGACTGCCCAATACAGCACGTGGGATGCGTGGTGCGCAGGGCTTCGGGCGCGCTTCGAGCCGATCGCGGCTTCTATTTCGGCGCGTCAGAGATTGCGCACTTGGCGGCAGCTCGGGTCGGTTCAAGATTACACGAGCGGTTTTCTCGCACTTTGCGAGCAGGTCGGCTACATGCACGAAGCGGAGCGGGTGGACCGTTACGTCGGAGGGCTGAAGCCGGATATCTCGCACGAAATCATGCTGCGCGGACTCTCAAACTTCAACGAGATTCTCGCGCTCGCCGAGAAAATCGACATTCTACGCCGACCGAGACCGGGGTCCTACTACGGACATCGTCCTCGGGGACCGATCGAGCACGCCACTGTAAACGCTGTTGCAACGAATGCAGCTGCCGCACCGTTTAAGGGGCGATGCTTTGCTTGCAACAGGCCGGGCCATCGCAAGAGCGAATGCCCAGAGGAGCTAAGGCGCCGCGGAGCAGAGCAGGGGAGGGAGTCTCAGAGGCAGGGAAATGCCAGCAGTCAGTAGAAGTTGGGCCAACTACTGACGAGACTGCCTGCTCGCCCAACCGCACCGACCCTCACCGAGTCACAGTACCGATTCACGCCATCGATCGGGCTCGGATGAATAAGGAGGGTACAACGACGGATTGCCCAGTACTGATCCACGGGAAAATACAGGGAGCAGCAGTGAAGATTTTTGTTGACGGAGGAGCAAGCCACAGTTTAGTTAATACCGCAACTGCGCGAAAATTACAACTGACGCTTAGTCGCTGCTTACCTGAGATCGACGCACGCTTAGTTGATGGCACGCCGCTGGCCATACGGGAGAAGGTGGAGAGAGTAAAAGTTCGCTGCGGGGGAAACTTCGGGTTTACACAGGAAATGCTCGCGACGACATTGGATGGGCATGATGTTTTACTGGGACGTGATTGGCTACGACGGTACAACCCACGAATCGACTGGACGACGGGTAGCTGCACTGTGCGAAGTAGCGGTAACTGGGTCATGCTACCTCGCTGGCAGTCGCCCGAGTCCTCAACGGTCCACGTCAACGCCATCACGATGAAACGGGTTGTCGCCGCTGGAGCTGACGTGTACGCAGTAGATATAGCATTAGTAGGAGAAGCGGAGCAGCCGAGCGATTTTCAGAAACTGTTGGCAGCAGTACCGCCCGAACTACAGGAACTGTTGAAACGGTACCCGGGGATTTTTCCAGACGACTTACCGGAAGGGCTGCCACCTCAGCGGGCGCATGATCATAGGATCGAGTTAGAACCGGGGGCACAGCCAACTGTACAGCGCCAGTTCAGACTGACACAGCCCGAGCTCGACGAACTGAGGAAGCAGTTAGATTATTTGTTAGAGAAGCAGTTTATTCGACCAAGTTCGTCACCGTTCGCCGCACCGATACTGTTCACACCGAAAAAGACGAAGGGTTTCGCATGTGCATCGATTACCGAGCGCTCAACAGGGTAACAGTCAAGTCGCGGTACCCCATTCCCCGCGCCGACGAACTGATCGACCAACTGCGAACAGCACGGGTGTTTTCGAAAATAGACTTACGGGGGGGTTACCATCAGATTCGGGTCGAACCATCGGACTGCGCCAAGACAGCATTTAGGACTAGGTACGGGTCGTTTGAGTATACGGTGATGCCTTTCGGGCTTGTCAGAACATTATAGCTTATGCTGTTGTGTAGGCTATAGTGGGGTATCCCATAGGGGGTACAACCAATTAGGGTTTCATATTTGTACTCACTTCATTTCATAGTTCATTCATTCTTGTTCAAATCTTCTCATGGTATAGAGCAGGTTCCCCCTTGGGAACTGTGCTTAGGGCCCACCACATCGATTTTTTTTCCTGCCCGAAGCGCGCTCAGCCCGAGTCGCGCTCCGGGCCCTCACTTCGTCGAGCCGCCCTAGCGGCCCTGCACTGCGGCCCCGCCACCCGTCTTCGCGGCCCCGCTGCCTCTCTCCTAGCGGCCCCGCCGCCCTACCTAGCGGCCCCGCCGCCCTACCTCGCGGCCTCGCCGCCCCATTGCGCGGCCCCGCCGCCCTACCTAGCGGCCCCGCCGCCCCATCGCGGCCCCGCCGCCCCATCGCGCGGCCCCGCCGCCCTATCTAGCGGCCCCGCCGCCCTACCTAGCGGCCCCGCCGCCCCATCGCGCGGCCCCGCCGCCCCATCGAGCGGCCCCGCCGCCCCATCGCGCGGCCCCGCCGCCCTTCCTCGCGGCCCCGCCGCCCCATCGCGCGGCCCCGCCGCCCTACCTAGCGGCCCCGCCGCCCTTCCTCGCGGCCCCGCCACCTTACCTGCGGCCCCGCCACCTTACCTGCGGCCCCGCCCTTACCTGCGGCCCCGCCGCCCTCTGCTGCGGCCCCGCCACCTTACCTGCGGCCCCGCCACCTTACCTGCGGCCCCGCCGCCCTCTGCTGCGGCCCCGCCACACTATCTGCGGCCCCGCCACCCTACCCGCGGCCACGCCGC